GTGACCTTTCCAATCTCGCGTGAAGCATCGCGAGACCCTCCCGCCCCGGCGGCCACAAGCTGCGGGGCTGTCAGATGTAAACAACCCCGGTGGAGTGGAGTCCGTTCAACGCGGCAAAGTCATTTGTCTGCTGCCAGGTTTCGTCAAACACAAGAATCCAGCTTACGGTCGACGAGGACATCCCCGGACCCAGATGGCCCTTGGTGTTGAGTAGCCGACGATAGAGGTAGACCGAAGGCTGAACGTGTGGAGCTGTTCTTGTTGCTGCCGCGGGCTGAGCCGATCGTAGCCACGCTGACCAGTACACTGACAGCGTCCCTACCTAATCGTGCGTTAATTTTCTGTGAGCACGGATTCCAAAGCGCGCCATCGTTCACTCACTGAACCACTAACTGGTTAAAGTCTTGCAGTTGCATGACTCATTAGTCCAGTTACTAACATTTTTAGTTATGAGTTTTTTGTGAGGAAAAAACACAAGAAGACTAAACTCTTTCGTACAAACAATAAAAATCCATGAGACATGACTACAGAATATATATTCATCTTTTAAATTGCATTACAAAGCTATAACAGGGCCATAACAATGAAAAAAAAAAACCAATCACAGGCCGTCCATATAGCCCCATGGAAGTAAAAACAATCTTGCAAAACATGCACAAACATACATAAACAATGTGAAGAATGAGGTTTGCTTTTATGATGGGGACACTATCGACAGGATCATTATCTACTAAGTGTTGCAGGTTTAGGCAGAGATCAGCAGACTGAACATTGTAAGCGGAGGAAACAGAAACAGACAAAAGGAAAAGAGCATAAAATTAATTCTATAGCAAATAACACAAAAAACAAACCAATAGCTTTATGGTGTCTGGCAAACCACAAACCGAGGTAGCTCCAAATGGAACTGTCATTATAAAGATTCAGGAAAATAAAATGAACAAATAATAATAGCAAAAATAAGCTAATGTAGCATAGATAAGCATTTGATTACTGCAGACAAAACGCATCATCGGGGAAACTCTCTTTTTGCAATAATTAGAAATTTAACGCAACATAAATCTTTTCCTTCAACAAATTCGTCAAAAGAACACAAGAACTACAGGAGCTTACTTCTGGGTCATAAAAATGCACAAACAATTACAAATGTAGATTCACAAAGTTTAAAACTATACTAATCAATTTACAAATATGTTTGCATATTTGCTTTGAGCCATATTCTTAAACATATATAATAATCTAATAAATCTCTCTGTGTTTACTTCCATAATCATGGTGCATTTGTGTCAGTGGATTTTGCTCAATGTCTATAATTCAGGAATAAAAACTGAACACAGAAAGACAAATGTTAATATGAACAATAATTGGGCGGTACGACCACGGCCCTCAGTTTTCCAAATACCATGTTGAACCGCTAAGTGATTCACTTCCTCCTCTCAGCAGTTTGGGATGTTGTACAACAAAAATCAAAGATGTACAATCATTCGCGTCCATCCAAATACGGTCCGCTTTGCCCTGTCGGTACTTATTTTCCGATAATGACCATCGTAATATACGTTAACCCTCATATTATACGGCTTTTATACCAACAAACACACAACATAAACTTCAGGTCCACTTTTAAGGAATGCCGAAAGGTTTATTTAATGACAAGAATAAAATAGAATCCCAAAGGCTTTCCCCGTGGCTATGCTAGCAACGTTAGTCAGGCACTTCAAACTATAAACTCGTCTGTAACAGCATAAAACTGAACAAAGAATTCTGAACATCAGCGTTGGAGTGACCCAAACATAAACTTAAACCTAAAATCCATAATTCATCCACTGCAACATGTTCCTAAAAATGTTGCCGGTAATCTACAATGTCCCGGTATCTACTGTCCGGGTTTTTCGGATCCGGAGCCTTTTCTGATCTACAGTCAGTGTTATTTGTAAGAAACACAAACGGAAAAATTCTGAAAACTTCCGTGCACTTGTGTATAAAGACCTGGATTTAGTATAGAATTTCACAAACTCTACCCGATTAACAATTCATTGCGTTGATTGATTGGCATTTGCGTTTATTGAGGGTCCGGAACTACTTCCGGGTTTTTCACAGATCGCTTTTTTACGCAGAGAAATATGTATTTATGTCCATCGAAGACTTGGACCATAAAATTCTGAAAACTCCGTTGCACGAGTGTGAAGAATGTAAATGAAACAAGTATTACCCGATTAACATTTAAGTGTGTTGAATTGACGTGGATAACTCCGCAAGTAGTTCTGGCCACTCCGGAGCTAGCCACGCTCAATACAACACACTTAAATGTTAATCGGAGAATACTTATACATAACATTCTTCACACACGTGCACGGAGATTTTCAGAATTTTCTGGTCTTGTCTTCATGACAAAAAAACCTATTTCTCTGCGTCAAAAAGCGATCGTGAAAAAACCCGAAGTAGTTCCGGCCGCTTCAATATACCAAAAGCCAATCAATCCACGCAATGAAAAGGTAATCGGAGAGATGAATAAAACAAATCCATTCTTAGTACAATTAGCACGAAGTTTTCATAATTTTTCCGTTACGTTTTCAAACAAAAACACTGATGTAATACAAGAAAAGGCGATTCCCGAAAAACCGTAAGTAGATACCGGCACATTTTAAAGATACCCGCACAATTTTAGGAACAAATGGCAGAGGAACGAATTATGGATTTAGTTTAATTAATGATTGAGGTCACTCACCGCTGATGTCAAAATCTTTGTTCAGTTAACATGCTGTTCCAGAGAGTTCTAGTTATGGAAGTTATGCCAGCCTAAACTGTTGCTTAGCATAGCCACGGGGAAACCCTTGTGAACTATTTTATTCTCTGTCATTAATAAACCTATTCGGCATTCCTAAAAGTGGAACAGAAGTTCTATGTAGTGTGTCTGGTTGGTATAAATGCCTATAAAAAGTCGGGAAAACTTATATTACGCATGGTCCATTATCGGAAATAATTACCGACAGGTCAAAGCGGACCCCGATCGCGCATGATTGTACATCTTTGATTATTGATGTACATAACCAAACTGCCAGAGTAAGGGAGGAAGTGACCATCACTTCCTGGTTCAACAATTGTATTTGGAAAACTGACCGCCAAATAATGTTCCATAATAACCATTTGTCTTTTCTGTGTTCAGTTTTATTTCCTGAATAGACAAAGAGCAAAAACCCACTGACACAAAGCCATCTTGATACTGAAAGTAAACCACAGAGAGATTTATAATAAAATATATGTTTAAAGAATATGGCCAAAGCAAATATGCAAACAATATTTGTAAAATTGATATAGAATAGTTTTAACTATATGAATTCATGACTTTGTACATTGTTTGTGCATTTTTATTGACCCAAGAAGTAAGGCACCTGTAGTTCTTGTTGATCTTTAGAGAAATTTGTGAAGGAAGATTTATTTGCTTAATTTCAAATTATTGCAAAAGAGAGTTTTCTCCGATCTGCTATTAGTCTGCAGCTAATCAAGCTAACTATGGCTACATTAAGCTAATTATGCTATTTATTATTTGTCATTTTATTTTCCCCTGAACCTTTATAATGACAGTTTCCATTTGAGCTACACTGTTTGTGGTTTGCCCATACACATAAGCATTGGTGTGTTATAATGTGTTTATTTGCTATAGGAAAAAATATTAATAACACTTTTCCTTTGTCTGTTTCTGTTACCTCCGCATAACAATGAACAGACTGAGATCTCCTGCCAAACCTGCAACGCAGCTGATAAAAGATCCTGTTCGATAGTGTCCCCAACCATAAAAGAACCTCCATTCTTCACAATGTAATGTATGTATGTGCATGTTTTTGCAAAGATGTGTTTTAATCATGGGGGCCAATAAGAGGCCTTTGAATGTATCATGTTATGGCCCTGTATAGCTTTTGTAATTCAATTTAAAAGATTAATATAAATTCAGTTATCCTGTCTCATTGCTAATAATGTATGTACGAAGAGTTTAGTCATCCTTGTTATTTTTTCTCACAATAAAACTCTTAACAACTGTTAGTAACTGACAATGAGTCATGCACTGCAGTATTAACCAGTATATAGGAATCGTTGAGATTGAACGCTGGCGCGCTTTGGCAGCCGCTGCTCCACAGAACAAAACGCCGCTGGACGGACGCAGACAGTGTCCCTGGTCAGCGTGTCCCGATCGGCCTCAGCCCGCGGCAGCCAATAACAGCTTCCACCCCCGTCAGCTCGTGTCTCCACACGAGCGCACCCTCAACACCAAGGCCATCTGGTCCGGATGTCCTCTTCTACCGAAAGCTGTACTTCTTGTGTTTTTGACCGAAACCTGGCAAGCAGCCAAATTACTTTGCCGCGCAGAACGACTCCACTCCACCGGGGGATTTTTGTTTACATCTGCCACCCCGCAGCTGTGGCCGCCGGGGCGGAGGGTCTCGCGAAGCTTCACCGCGAGACTAGGAAAGTCACACCTGTGCCTGCTGCCCCTTTCATCTCCTTCCATCGAGTACCTGCCTCACTGCTTGCCTGGACCTTCTCCTACTGTTGTTGCCACCATCTACGCCCGCCAAAACTTAATAAGGACTTTTTTAGATGAACTTTTCTCACCTCTAACACCTTCTCATCTATCTCTCAAACGCAGTCAACTTGGGTACTACAACATTCACATGGCCAATAATATCACCCTCACACCAAAGACTTCTCCTCCTGTTTTAGATAGTTTTGGATTACAACAACACATTCATTCCCCCCCCACACTAAAGGTCACATTTTGGACTTAATCTGCTCTGCTCTGGTCTCACTCCCACAGACAGATAAACCACACACACTCCCATACACCGACCATAATCTCAATCACCTTACAATATCAACCACACCGCTCCAAACCATCCTTCCCCGAACCATATCTTTCCTTTAAAATTCAGGACATAAACACTGCCACCTTCGCCTCAGAAACAATAACCTCCCCACTACTGATCCAATGACTCCGCCCGATGACCTGGTCACCCGCCCCCACCAACCGCACCCCCCCACACCACACCCCCCCCGCCAAGTCCACTCCCTGCCCAACACCCCACACACACCCCCACCCCCAACCCGCCACCCCCCCCAAGACCCACCACCCAGCCTCCCCCCAACCCCCGCGACCCCGTCCCCCCCCCCGCCCTTACCCCAACTCCCCACGCACCCCCCCCCCGTCCCACACTCCAACCCCCTCACCCCTCCCCCCCCAATGGATCCCACCACCACTACAACAACTTTCACTCCATAAACCTCCTGTACAATCATGCTCCTCTCAAAACCGACCCGCTCTTCACTCTCTCACACCTGGTTCACCACTGCCCTCCTTCAGCTCAAATCCAAGGACGTCAACTTGAACGGCTCTTCAATAAAACTGGACTCACCATTACACAAACAAATAACAAAAACCACATCATGCTATACAAGACCAACTCTCTGCTCCAAATCCACCTACTACTCCGGTTTAATCCACTCCAATCATCAAAACTCCAAAACTCTCTTCTCTCATCTCACCAAAATAACCAAACCCCCTGACTCCCTCACTCACCTTATGCAATCCACTGACTTCTGTAACTCACCATGTCCTCTTTACCTCCAACAACTCAGCCATCCACCAAACACCTGACATCCACATGGAGCTGCAGTCATCTGAGTGACCCCCCACCCCTACACATCCCTCATAAGCCACATTCTCCCAGCTTCATCATGTCCCCCCTCCGTCCAAGCCATCTCCGACTTTATCATTAAATCCAAACCACTACCTTCACAGCTCGACCCTCTCCCTACCGTTCAGGTCAATCCTGCCTCCCTCAGCTGCCCCCCACATCACTAATATCATTCACTTCATCTCTCACTTCTGAACTGTCCCCTCTCTCATTCAAACCGCACTCGAGTCCTCACCCTTTCAAAAAACCTGCCTGGATCCAACCAACTTCACAACCTCCGTCCAACTCAAACCTTCCCTACATCCCAAAATACAATGAAAAATCTGTCGCTGCTCAACTCACAACCACCACACCACACAACATCTACGAACAATTTTCAAGTCTGGTTTCGCCCTCCACAGCCACCGAACAGCTCTTCTAAAAATCACTAACGATCTCCTCATAACCTCTGACTCCGGTTTACTCTCCATCCTCATCCTCTGGACCACACTGCAGCTTTAGACCCATATTCTCACTCCACCCACCTGAACAGACTCTCCTCCATCGGCAATCACCCACACCCCCCGCCCTGGTTTCACCTCCTATCTTTCTGGTCGCTCACAGTTATTCATCTCAAATCCCACAAAACCGCACTTTTCCTGTCTCTGCTGGTGTCCCCAGGCTCTGTCCTGGGGCCCCTCTCTTCATCATACTATAATCTCCCACTCGGTCACAACCTCCGCCGTTCACAACATTCACTTCCACTGCTACGCTGATGACACCCAGACACATAGACTTGAGGGGAGGAGGACAGATTGTGTTATGATGGAGATTGAGAAGCTGGTATAATGAGAGACGTGGAGGGGGTGCCTATGAGAAGGACTTCATTTTTGAGCTATTGAGTTTGTAGAAAGTTTGGAAGAGAACCAGGAATGAATTTTCTTGTAGACAGAGGGTGATGGAGGATGGAGGGAGAGAGAAGATGGTTAGCGGAGAGTGTAGAGGCTTGGTTCACCCGTGCGTAGCAGTGGAAGTGAATGTGTGACGGCGGAGGATGTGACCGAGAGGGAGAATATAGATGATGGAGAGGAGGGGCCCCATGACAGAGCCCTGGGGTACACCATCAGAGACAGGAAAAGTGCGGGTTTGTGGTTATGAGATGAATGAACTGTGAGCGACCAGAAAGATAGGAGGTGAAACCATGCGCGGGTGGTGGTGGGAGATGCCGAATGGAGGAAGTCTGAACATGAGGGTGGAGTGGAAATGTGTCAAAGCTGCAGTGAGGTCCCATAAAGGATGAGAATGGAGAGTAAACCGGAGTCAGAGGCTATGAAGAGAAGATCGTTAGTGATTAATTAAGAAGAGCATGTTTCGGTGCTGTGAGGGGACGGAAACCAGACTGAAATTGTTCCGGCCAGATGTTGTTGGTAGGTGAGTGGGTTTGTGGAAGTTGAGCAGCGACAGATTTTTCAAGTATTTGGAGATAAGTGGAAGGTTGTAGATGGGACGGAGTATGTTGAAGTTGGTTGGATCCATCCAGTTTTTTGAGAAAGGGTGAGACTGAGGCGGTTTTAGAATGAGAGAGGGACAGTACAGAAAGTGAGAGATGAAGTGAAATGATATTATTGATGAGGGGGGCAAACAGAACATCTGAGGGAGGCAGGATTTGGACCAGAACGGTAAGGAGAGGGTCAGCTGAGAGGTAGAAGGTTTGGATTTAATAATAAAGTCGGAGATGTCTTGGACGGAGTGCAAGAAAGAAGCTGGAGACAGTGGCTATGAGGGATGAGTAGGGGGCTGGGGGGGATCCACTCCAGAGACTGCAGCCCATGTGGGGGTCAGGTGTTGGTGAATGGACAGAGATCCCATGGAGGAAAAGACGGACATGAGTGAGTTACAGAAGATCATGATTGCATATGGTAGGAGGGAGTCCAGGGGTATGGTTATATTGGTGAGAGAGAGAAGCGAGTTTTGGAGTTTATGATGATTGAGTGATTAAACTCGGAGTAGTAGGGTGGAATTTTGGCGCAGAGAGATTGGTCCTTTTATAGCATCGATGTGGTTTAAGTACATTTGTTTGTGAATGGTGAGTCCAGTTATTGAAGAGCCCTTTCAAGGTTGACGTCCTTGGGATTTGAGCTGACGGAGGGCAGATGGTGAACCAGGTGCTGAGAAGCGAGAAAGAGACGGGTCGGTTTTTTGAGAGGATCAATGATTGTTCAGGAGGTTATGGAGAGAAGTGTTGTAGTGGGAGACCAGGTCATCGGGGGATCATTGATCAGTAGTGGGGGAGGTTATAGATATCTGAGCGAATTTTGCAGTGTTTATGTCCTGAATTAACGAAGAAATGGTTCGGAGTAAGGAGGTCTTGGAGAGGAGAGGTTGATATAGAAGGTGATACTTAAGGTCTGTGTATGGGAGTGTGTGAGGTTTACAGTCAGGGGAGTAGACCAGACGCATCAGATTAAGTCCAAAATGTGGACCTTATAGTGTGGGTGGTGAAATGAATGTGTTGTTGTAAACCAAAACTATCTAAACAGGAGGAGGAGAAGTCTTTTGGTGAGCAGGTTGCAATTATATGTCATCGTGAATGTTGAAGTCCCAAGTATGACTGCGTATATAGAGATAGATGAAAGAGAATAGAAAGGTGAGAAAAGTCATCTAAAAATCCTTATTAAATGTTTGGGGCGGGCGTAGATGGTGGCAACAACTTAGGAGAAGTCCAGCAAGCAGATGGAGGCAGAAGTACTCGAAAGGGGAGAAAGACAAGGGGCATCAGCACAGGTTGACTTTCGCAAGTACGACGCGGTGAAGTCATCGCGAGACCTCCGCCCCGTGGCCACACTGGGGGCTGGCAGATGAAAACAAACCCCGGTGGAGTGAGTCGAACAAAACGCGGACGAAAGTCATTAGGCTGCTGCCAGGTTTACGTCAAAAAACACAAGAAAAGTTCCAGCTTACGGTCCGCGAGGTACATCCCGGACCAGATGGACCTTGTGTTGAGGAGCGCACGTTGAGGAACCGAAGCATACGGTGGTGAGCAGTTCTTGGCTGCCGCGTTGCTGAGGCCGATCGGCGCACGCTGACCCAGGACCCTGTCAGCGTCCGACCCACGCGTATGTTCTGATAGCATGCGTGCTGCCAAAGCGCGCCAGCGTTCACTCACTGTAACCCAATACTGGATAATACTGCAAGCAAAGACTCATCTAGTCAGTTACAAACAGTTAGTTAAGAGTTTTTTGTGAGAAAAACCACAAGGATGAACTAACATCTTTCGTACAACAATAATAAGCCATGAGACATGAAAACAGCATTATATAATCCATCTTTTAAATTGCATTATCAAAGCTATAACAGTGCCATAACAATGCAACCAATCAAAGGCCGCCAAATTGGCCCATGAATTAAAAAACACACTATTGCAAACAAAGCACAAACATAACATTAACCTTGAGAAAGAAATGGAGGTTCTTTTATGGTTGGGGACACTATCGACAGGAACTTTTATCAGCTGATAGTGCAGGTTTTGCAGGAGATCACAGTCTGGTACATTGTATGCGGAGGAAACAGAAACAGACAAAGGAAAAGAGTATTAATAATTAATCTAAAGCAAGATAACACATAAAACACCAATAGCTATATTTGTCTGGGCAAACCCACTAAAAGAAGGTAGCTCAAATGAAACTGTCATTATAAAGGTTCAGAAAATAATACAAATAATAAAATCATAATTAGCTTAATGTAGCAAAGTATAGACTTGATTAGCTTCAGACAAACGCAGAACGGAAAACTTCTCTTTTGCATTAATTAGAAATAACGCAACAAACAATCTTCCTTCACAAATTCGTCTACAAATCACAAGAACACAGAGCTTACTTCTTGGGTCATAAAAATGCACAAACACTGTACAAAAGTCAAGATCACTATAGTTAAAAACTATTCAAATCAATTTTTTTGAACAAAAAAAATAAGTTTGCATATTTGCTTGAGCCAAATTCTTAAACATATATTTTAATCTAATAAAACTCCACATGGGTTACTTATCATTACATGGCTTTGTGTCAGTGGGATTTAGCTCTATGTCTATTCAGGAATAACACAGAACACAGAAAGACAAATGGTTTCAAATGAACAATATTTAGCGGTCAGTTTTCCAATACATTTGTTTAACAAACCAAGGAAGTGATGTCACTTCTCCTATCAGGAGTTTGGGCTGATTGTACATCACTAATCAAAGATGTAAAATCATCGCCGCTGACGAGGGTCCGCTTTGCCTGTCGTTACTAAAATTCCGATAATGACCTGCGAAATATACGTTAACCCGCTTATTATACGGCTTTATAATATATACCAACAGAACACACAACATAAACTTCAGTCCACTTTTAGGAATGCGAATGAAAGGTTTATTTAATGACAGAGAAATAAAATAGTTCCCAAAGTCTTTCCCGGCAATGCTAGCAACAGTTTGGCTGGCAACTTCCAAATAACTAGTAACTCTCTGGAACTGCATGAAAACTGAACAAAGAAATCTGACAACAGCCGGCGAGTGACCCAAACAATAAACTTAACCTAAATCCATAAAACGATCCTCTGTCAAATGTTTCCTAAAATGTGCCGGTA